TTATCAATAATTTAGTCTCTTCCCCCTCGTGAGAGCCTGTGTGTTTTGCAATAATGAAATATATGATTTTAAAAATAAATAATAAGCTGTTGTCAGCCCGATTGTAGCTCCGAGTTATGAATGTGATTGATTGATTGAACATTTGACTTCATCCGCTCGAGCAGGATCAAAGAGAGACTCTTCCACCCGCCTAAGGCCACTAGCAATTTATTTAGAGACTGTGTTCGGATCCCAGCAGGTAGCAATATTGGACTGAGGTACACAGAAAAGCAGCTCTTTGAGGTTTTTTCCAAGTCCAAGGGAAGCAACAAATGAGATTTTTTTTTTTTAGTTCATTAAATCATTAACCACTTAATCACTAAAAACAAGACATTAGAAGCATTCCCCTTAGCTGGGGTATCGTGGAACGGAAGGAACGCTGCTTTGCTGAGATCTGGCGTTGGAAGGTGGGCCCTTCTTACACAATGTGACAGTCTCTAATTTTTTATTTATATGGCACTGTATTTTTTTTTCTTCATCTTAACTAATCAGTGTGGCAACAGCCACGCTGACATCCAAAAGTGACAGGTGTCTGAATTGCAATGAGGTGTCTATCCAACCACCAAGCTGGGGGAAGGGAAAGACAAAGGTATGGAGGAGATGTTTGTGAGACAAATATTGCAACTGTTAGGCCGGTTGAATGAAAAAGAAGAAGAAAGGAGAGAAGAAAATGGCATATAGGAAATTGCTGATGGTTTGAAATACAGCCCTCAGATTTAGCCAGGGCAGAGTCCTTCCCGAGTTTTGGTGTTCAGCTGGCATGAGGAGAGACTATCCGTTCTTTCACAAAAAGGGTTTTGAGGTCAAGTGTGATTCTCTGTCCCTCACACTACAGCCACCCTGAGCTTTGAAAAACCCTGCCAGCCCGTGCTCTCCCCGTGAGCAGGGAGCTGCTTGGCATTCTATGAGCAGGGCTGACAAGGAGCCGAAGTCTGGTCCTAACCAGGGTGCTGGGAATAAAGGAGACAGGATGAGAAGGCCTGAGGACATCCACCCACAGAGGGACAGGCCCATCTTAACAAGAACAGGTTACGGTCTTCGCTGTTCTAGCAGGGGAATGGAAGAAAGGGAACGTGTCTTCCCTTCCCAGCTCCCTAGTCCTGCGCTGTCTGACCTCAGGCAAGGCAATTTAATCATCATCCCGACGCTTTTGACTTCATAGGGCCTTTCATCCACAGATCTCAAAGCGCTTCACAAATACCAATTCATTAACCTTCACAACCCACCCTGGGGGACCAGGGGTGGGCATGTTTCCCCCTGTGGTGGGGACACTCAGCTGGAGGCACAGGGAAAGCAGTTCTTCCTTCAAGGTCACTTGAAAGTTGACCAGGAAACTCAAGAGTGAGATCCAGAGCAGCTGGCATCAAGGCCAGGAGCTGCGGATTTCTGGGGCCTCAGTTTACCCTCCTCTGTGCTTTTGGGTTGGATTTGCACCTCTGATTCTCCTCACATAGAGCAAAGGAGTGGCACGTTGAGAAAGGGCAGGAAAAGCAACATTGCTTACTTATCGGCAGCTGTGCGCTAACCACTTTCACATACTGTGTCTCATTCACTCCCTACAAGAATCCTGTGAGGTTCTATAAACCCCATTTTACAGGGCAGGAAATCGAGGCTATGGATGTTAAAGAATTTACTCAAGGTCACCTAACTCATAAGCAGTGGAGCTGACAATCTGTTTGTAATAATCATAATTATTATTATTATTCATGAATATTCACAGCCACTCCCCCAAAGCTGCCCCTGAGAATTCCGTTTTCATTTATGGACCTTTCTGCATCTATGATCAACCCATCAATTGAGCCTATGAGCTGTAACAGGAAATACTGAGGCCGAGAATGGCAGAAAATCTGGCTCAATTTACAGAGCGGGAAGTGGAGTTGCTTACGGAAACAAAAGAGTAGCTCTGAAAAGAGAGAGGGAGTCGGGGAACATGAGAGAGACAGCTAGGGATGGGTTTAGAGAGAGATTTTAAGGAAATGAGCTCAGCATAGGCGAAGAGATAGACTTGGGAAGCAGCCGCTGTGCGTGTTTGAACTATATCACGGAGAGATGGGGAAAAAAGAATGTTAAGAAGTTTTGCTTTGCATTGTGATGTGGTACCTAAGGGACTAACTGCAATATAGATTTGAACAGCTTCTGAGTCGCTCTTGGATGCCAGCCTGATACTTCCTCAAGTACCATGCTAGGCAGAGGCCGGCAAAATTCGGTTTGCTGCTCTGTGGGTTGCACATCTGTCAGTAGTCCATCTCTGCTCTTTTCATGTCACATTGCCTGTCATCCTCCCATCTCGGCTGAGCTGGACACTTCTGCTTCTGCACTCCCATGGTAGGTAGAATAGGCGCTGACCACATGCTTTTTACTCACGCATAACTGTTTTGTGATTGAATGCTCCTTCCTGTGAGTAACCTTGGTGGAGTTTGGCCGAACAAGCGGCATAATTGACTCTGCCATCCAGGTGAACCAACACACAGGCCAGGAGGCAGGCAATGTTTGCAGGATGTATTAGTAAGGTAGGTTAACTGCCATGACAAACAGCTCCAAAATGTTGATGGCTTAACATAAGGGAAGATGACTTCTCACTCATGTGATGTCCTATGTTGATATCCCATCAGCAGTTCTCCTGAGCCATGATTCAGGGACTAGGCTTCTGTGGTCTTGCATTTTCCCATCCTCTGAAGCCTCGGAGTCCTGCACATCCAGTTGCAAGAATGGCAGAAAGACAGAGTGTGGAGACAGGCACTGGAGTTAGGATCCAGGCTTAGAAATGATGTACACATCACTCGGCCAATCACGTGGTTGTCTAGCCGTGTGTCCAGAAGGAAAAGGAAATCCGGTCTAGTAAGCATAAAGCAGTCTCTGCCACCCTGGGGACTTCGCCACAACACCAGGTACCCCCATACCAGCCAAGCTGGAACTCTGCTAGAGGCGTTTCCACAAGCAACCGGGCATCAAGTTTGTGAGTGCCATGTGATTCTCTTACCCCAATAATGGATTGACGAGTAAGCTAGAATTCTCCAGAAGGAAGCAGAGCTTGTTTGGGGAGTTTTGGGGGGAAAAAAAATGCTGTATGGACCTAGGACAATTGGGAAGCATCCGACATTCTCTGGTTGGAGGGAGGACATGTCTAATTTCATAACTGCCTTTAAACTGACATTGAACAAGGCATCTTTCTCTTTATTCTGTAAAAAAAAAAAACTACACCCTATATAATATGCAAAAACTGGACAGAAAACGATATCCCACCTAGACAGGAAAGGTGAATGCTAAAACTCCTCAAATTTGTCTTCAATGTCTGTCTAGTTAAAGTTGATCACACTTTCTTAAAATATCCAGTCAATCTTGGGCAAAAGAAAGTGATTTGTTTCTCGTTTTCAGAAAACAGCCTCAGTTCTTGTTCCGTGTGGGGCTGTGGCCTCAGCACTAAAGCTGGTAGGAAACTTCATTTCCCTATCGCCCCGGAGAAACATTGCTCCCTGGGTCACTATGACAATCCCCAAATGTGTGGCTTTATTTGAGAACACAACTGTGCACGGTCCTTATAGATCGCGGGGGTTTAATAACGACAAAAACCTGCTGATAGCACAGTCTGCTTCCTTTCATTTCCCCCTGAAAATACCAAACTCTGGTTGTTACGGAGAACCAAAGCTGAAATATTCCAAAGCAGTGTCTTGGTTGTTCTTTCTCCCAAGTTTTTTCCTCTGCTGCCTTCATTTACCCCTCCCTTTCCATTTGTAGAGACAAAAGAGAAAATTCTATAACTACTGGCCTCTGTCTAGGAACAGAGAAAAAAATGAAGCAAGGCAAACAACAGAGAAAAGTGAACAGCAAAAGAACAAACTCAAATGAACCTGCTTAACGATCCTACCGTGCTGGCCCAGCAGGTGAGTGCTTTGGCTTCTTTTCTTCTTTTTCTTAAATGTCCAGATTGTGGTCTAAATTCTTAGAGTAAAATCGAAGGTTGGTAAAAGAGCTCTGAAAACCCCTACATGGAAATGACTCGCCCATCAATCTGTATCTTGAATCTTTAAAGAAGTCATCTGGTTTGACTCAGTAATTTCACTTGAGACTCTATGCAACGTTAATGGCTTAGTTTGGAGTCTCCCAGAAGCAGAGCCTGAGACAAGGATTTGGTGAAAGCAAGTAGTTTCTTTGGGAGGTGATCCCAGGAAGCATGGTGAGGGAGTGGGGAACGTGGGAAACAGGGATGAGAGGAAAGTATGATGGGCACACGGATGAGTTGGACACTGTGGGGGCCTGGGATTCAATCCTGTGAGGACCACCTGACTGATTGTGTAGAACACACCTTTCAGTTGTCACCCGGAGGAGCAGGAAGGACTCTAGAATTCCCATCCCCATTGGTTGAAGGTTGCTCTGGGACATTAACGCTGATGCGTGTCCAGGTTGCACTATAATACCCTGGAATCGAGATTGCACATACAGAATGACCTTCTCTTTTTTAACATGTCTAGAAAAAAGACTGGAGGGAAGCACAGCGAATTGTTAGTAGTGATTCTCTTTGGGCAACAGGAGTTTCTTTGCTTCTTACATTTCTATTTTCATCAAATTTTCTATAAGAAAAATGCATTCCTGTTTTAAGGGAGAAAGCAATAAACTTTATTTGGAAATAAGAGGAAAAAAAATCACCCGCCAAGCAGAAGGGAACTCAAAGCTGGCCCTTCTCACCTTCTCCCTATGCCCAACTTTTATGTGTGTCTAGCATTTCTGGTTCCCTGCTGAATCTGGAACCAACATCTAATGTAAAATAATTTGGGACATTTCTCAGGAATGACTAGGGCCTGAAAGTAGCAAGCAATTCCTGATTAAATGTGAAGTTCTTAGGGCACCACAAAGAGAGCAAGAAATATCTATCCTTTTTATTTTTCTTAAATTAACTCATGGAAACATGAAGCCCACAGTCATGTTATCTAGGCTGGTTCCTCTCTATACTGATTAGCTTTGATGCTTTCTTCAATAGTTGGCCGGTGACTTGGGCATCAGCAAATTTCCTGCTCCTGTTAGAAACTTACCATCCCACTAGAGGAAGGGGACCTCCACATTGGGGAATTTTCTTGTCAATCATTCCTCTAGTAAATTCTTGAGACTTGGGATGAAAGATGTTACCTGAATACAAAGTGCTTTTGTGAAATGCTTTGAAAATGTAAAATGAGCTAGGCTTGAAGGGAGCAGAAATATGACTTTATTCAAAGTAATTTCATTTATTGGAATAGTTACAGTTGGCAAAGTTCATCCTGAAATATTTTCCACGCAGTTTTAAAAAGTTAAATTTCTTGGAATCTTCTCCTTAGACTCTCCAGAACCTCTTGATTTTAAATAATTTCCGATAGATGGAAACATTTAAGTTCTTAAGCCCTTCATTAGTTCGATATTTGGCTACGGGTCCAGGCTGCAGCATTGCACAACTGCAGGGGGCTCCACTCCCATAGAAGTGTGTCTTGGAGCTGTGCAATAGAGTCTGTGTAAATCCAAAAATGATTTTCAAGACAAAGTTTTCTTAGAGTTCCTGAATTTGCAATAGGGCTTTTGGATATTCCATTCTGATGAACATGTTCAAAATCCATTATACACTTGAGGATCATGGTGGTTGATCCTCACCCTCCCCAAAATGTGTTATTCACTGCTAGTTCCTTGGGATACCAACAGGTATTTTGCAAAAGAAAAAGTCCATGATTAAAATTAAGAATGAGTTTAGGAAGGGCTGGCTAAGTCAAGTTAAACAAGGCTTTCTACTGCAGGACTACTGCCGGTCCTAAATATGCTGATATCGTGTATCTTCAAGAATTTCCAAGAGAACAATGGCACTTACGATGTTTCCAGATTTCTGAACACAGAAGTGGCCCACCTCTTCACTGCCCTTTCTGTTTTTGTCAAGGCACGTCGTACAGCCCACAGTCTTCAGTAAGTCCACATTATAGCACCGATGCATATTGGCACCAATAGTCTAGGCGAATGGCTCTTAAACTTCAGTGTGCATCAGCGTCGCTTGGAGAGCTTGTTCAAACACGAATCCTGAGCCTATCCTGAGAAGTTCTGATTCAAAGTAGGGCCTGAGAATTTGCATTTCTGAGTCCTAAGTGATGCTGATGCTACTAGTGCAGGCACCATATTTTGAGAACTACTGATTTAGAGGAATTTAGTGATGCTCCAGAAACAGACAACTCAGAGAAAACAGGAGTGGTTTTCCAGTCACACAGCTGGTTCTTTTGGTTATGGATGTCACATTTTCCCATGAAATTCATGATGGTGAAATGAGACTTGACTTTTAAAGGCTAGGGTTGAAGGCATAGAGAAGCAGATGAGATCTGATCTGGGAGCATGTTTAAACCCAGTCGCAGAGGCTACAGCACAAGACAGAAGTTCACTTAGAACAGGGCTTGGGAGCAGTAGCTTTGGTGTCAAACAACCTGCTTCAGACAAACCCAAGAAAATAATCTTTCTTGAGCCTCAGTTTCCTCATCTGTTATATGGGCATCATCATTTTTAGCTGCTGTGGTTCTGGAAAGAACAAATCAGACAGCCTGTATAAAGCACTTGGCACTGTGTTCTGTGGCAGGCACTCAATAAATGGGAGGGAAAAAGATTTGCTTATTGGGAAGAAGGCAAGGATTGGGCACAGGAAGTACAGTCTCAAGATAACAAATTTACTGCTTTACTGAACACTGGGTCCAAGTTCCCTTAAAATACTTTTGTCTGGGATTGGTTTCTTAATATAGAGCTTGTAGGCAACTGTGGAATCCAGGACAGCCATCTCAGAAACTGCCAGGGCTCGTGCTTCTCCCAAAGCTCCCCAAAGCTCACCATGACACACAATGGGTCCTCATTAAATATCTGTTGAAGAATTAACGTATTCAATAGGGAGATGTGACCAGCTTGACCCCAGAAGCCCCTGAACAATAAAACACTGAGATGCTGCTTTAGTTAGTCAAGCTTTTTCTCCTCAGAACAAACAAACAAAAGACAGAACAAAACATAAATAAAATCAGATGAGGCTTTGGTTCTGAAAGACACTGAACAGATACACTTGAGTTATCTCAAGAAAAATCAATGACTTCCCCACCCACCAGTGGATGAGCCTTCGGTGTTGGCTTGGAAACAGTGAAACCCTACTGGCCTGAAGCTCTCCGGAGTCCATGGGCAGAGCACACACATTCCAGCATTCTCAGCTGGCCCAGAGGGTATGAAACCATTTCCTTCTTGGAGTATAGAGCCATCACTGCAGGTATTAACGCTCCTTCGAAGCCCTCTGCCTTCTGGCTAACATAGCAAGTGGACAAAGAAAAGAGGAGACAAATCAGGTAGCTGTGGGGTGTGGGGCTTGGG